AAGAGATTCTTTTGGTGCACAGTTTGAGTATCTTCTGCTTCAGATGCATACACGTGGATGAAAATATTTGCTTTATTGGTGTGACATTGCTTTTTATGCTGTTCTGTGGGCAATCTGCTTTTTCTGTGGGGATGTCAAAGTAGGGTTGACAGAATCGTGTGTAGCTCAGCATTCTAGCCTATTTATACCCTCTAAAAATTGCATGCCTCTTTATACTTCTTTTTGGAACATTGATGGTTTAGAAAGAAAAAAAAATCTCGGCATGAGAATCTCATCAGGAGCTGGAAATTCTTTGTGATGTATAGTACTAACCATCACACAGGGAAAACCATGTAAATGTTACTGGGGATCAAACGCTGAAATGTATATGAATAATATATTAGTAGATATACAGAACATATAATTAAAATTGAAATGGTAGAGCAAATTTATAAAATATTTAAGCAGAATGGTGGAGAACACAGAAGAGATCCGCATACATTCCAGTTAGTCATGATCCACTGTTGGCTCATAACAGAGCTCAGTTAACAGGAAAAAGATGTTTCTCACCATAAAAACCCTGAATCCTTAAATCTTTAGGCTGACTTTTTGTTGTGCTGATAACTCAAAAGCTAAGGTGGCTGTTACCCAAAATTGGATTGTGGGGTACTAGAGTAGAGGGAAAAAAGACAGGGTTCACCTGTATACCATGTTTCCCTGAAAATAAGACCCAACTGGAAAATAAGCCCTAGCATGATTTTTCAGAATGCTCATAATATAAGCCCTGTCCCCAAAATAAGACCCAGTTAAGATTGTCAGCCAGATGAACCGTACTTTGGAACCGTATATCTCTGAAAATAAGACCTAACTGGAAAATGAGCCCTAATATGTCTTTTGGAGCAAAAATTAATATAAGACCTGGTCTTATTTTTGGGGAAATATGGTAGAGGTTTTAGAAAGTTGACACAAATTGAAATTGTATATTTTTCCTGTTCAGTTTAGGAGAAAAGTTGATAAGAGATCTATATTATTTCTTTTCCCCCCACACTGGAAACAAACAAACACTGTTAACATTTTTATTTATTATTGTTTTTATTTATTTCCAGTCAAAGAATAAAAATAATTAAAATGCAATCTAGGGAAAGGAAAGTACATAAAAAAGGGGAGGTCTAACAAGAAATATGAAATGCTATCAGATCTTTTGATAATTAATCATTATTTTTGATCACAAACCAAACTCAGACCCAGTATCTACTAATATCAGTGTAAGGCATCCAGAAAGTATCCGTGATATCAATCACTCTGAGACATTTTCTCTCCAACTGATTTATTTAGAAACATCTGGCATGTCAAAGGCAATTTCCCAAAGTGAAATTATTTTCTTGTTACACAGAATCCACCTTCTCTTCTCCCTTCTCTCCTCCCACTTCTACACTTCATAAATCACAAGAACCAATTAATTGCAACTGGAATTTCTTAATACAACATATAGAATAACCTTGAGCTTTTCAACTCTTCCACCCCCCCTTCTATGAAATGTGACAGCTGAATTTTAAAGCTGACAACCAGTGACAAATGACCCATTTTGACAAATTTCTGTAAGACAAACTTGCAAATAAAATGTGCCCTTTATAGATCATCCCACATGTTTAGTTAAAATGAAAGTTATTAAACTGTAACACTAGGAATAATACAGTTGCACTGTAACAAAATATGGAAGACCATCTTAATGATATTGTTCGAGTTTTATCTCATAAGAAGGAGTGTGATGTCTTGAGTGGTTGGGACGTTGAGCAGGAGGTTAGCAAGCCTGTGTTCGAGACCCAGAAAGCTGCTGTGGGGCGGGGTTGAGCTCTTGTCCTTCACTCCAGCTCTGCTGGGGACATGAAAGGAGCACCCAACTGGGTGTCCCTAGGGCAATGGTGATGTCACTGGTGAATCCTTTCACCCCGGAAGCGCCTCAGGGCGTCTGTTACAAGTGCGAAAAATTAAAAGCTTTGAGAAACAGTCTCATGGGGCACTGTCTGGCCAACCTCGATTGGATTCCAAAACCTAGGTTTCAGGTCTAGGTAATACTAAGAGGAAACCACCAGGAATTACCATTCCTGTGGTCTCTAGGTATTAAGCTGCACCCGACAGGCTGTAGGAAAGCTAAGACTGGTTTTATTGAGAGTCATCTTGCAAACCTGATTGTTTTGAATCTCTTTCTCCTTATGTCCATGTGAATTAGAAAGGTGTCTGTCTCAGCTCCTTAACACACTTTCTGTTTGCTCTGGCCATAAGATATTTAAAACTTAAGAGAAAATGGACCAGGTTCTTCTCATGACTAGGAGCTCAGCCATCTGCTTTTGAGATCCATGCCACTTTTGGCTAACTAAGGCTGCCGGGTTGGGTGGTTAAGGTGTGGTTGGGTTCTAGCAATGGCTAATTCATCCTTGAGAGAAGGAATTGTTCCTCTGCCTCTTAAGGAGGCATTGGCTTATTGTCTCCATAAGAAGCCTGTCAGAGCGTTTGCAGCGTGACTACCACTAGGGAGCAAAACACAGCACACAGAGACTTAGACATTTAACAGTGGTTTATATACAGCAGTTATATACAGGTATATACGTGGTAGGCAAAATACCTTAACAAGTAAGCAAACTTCTTCTTAACTCTTCTTAACACACGGAGAACTCTACAATGAATACTGGACACAAGGAGAGAGAACTCACCCTTTAATGGCTGTCTTTATATAAACACCTCTTAAAGGGATAGAACCCACCCCCAGTCTTAAAAGGAAAAACCCACGTTATGCTGATTCATTCTTATTACCTCAGCCTATATTGCATCAGCTTCACTGCCGGTTGGCTCTTAAATCCCAAGACTTTAACAAAGCCATTGATATATGCCACCATATGGACAATTTTCATCCAGTGCCCAGCCTCCCTTTTTTAAGGGAAGGTTGTTGAGAAGGTGATCACACAGCAGGTTCAGTGAACCCTGTATAAAACATGACTAAAATCTTTTCCATCAGGATTTAGGCTTGGACATGGGACAAAAAATGACATTGGTTGCATTTTTTGACGATCTCTAGAGGGACGGGGTCGTGTGTCCGTCCTAACTGTACTTTTACCTCTTGGTGGCTTTCAGTGCCATTGACAATGATGAGCTCTGAGGATTGGGAACAGGCGGCATAGTTTTGTGCTGGTTCTCTTCCTTCCTAAAAGACTGATACTAGCTAGCATTGATCTGGAATGAGATATCTCACCATCAGTCCTACTATGTGGGATGCCTCAGGGTTCAATCTCTCTCCACTTCTGTTTAACATCCATATGCAGCCAATGGAGATCATCCATTGTCATGAGGTGAGGTATCATCAGTAACTGGTAATACTCAATTAGACGCCTCCGCCTCTGGTGAACTAAACAAAGCTGGTTAGCTCTTTGGCTTTCTACACAAGAACATTTTCTCAGCCCTTTTCTAAGAAAATACAGGAAAATACTTTGGATCTTCCTAGCCAAAGCCCTAGATTATGGAACTTAACTAACCGTGTGCTGCTCATGTAACTATACAACTGCATAGTTTTACATGTAGAAATGGTAAATATATACAAAAAAAAATAAGGAATCTCATGCTAAAAGTAATGAAGCTCAATCTTTAGGGATGAAAAGGGGAGATAACAGAAAACAAGGGAAAGAAACAGTCACAAACAAACAATTAGGAATAAAATAAATATAATCAGTTGATTTGCTATATCTTTGAAGAAGATCTTGGATTCCACACATGTTCATTGCAGAGATGCTGGCTGAAGAAAAATCTTCTGACTGTTTTGATGTATGCAAGATCTTTTGGTTCCTCTGACTTCTTCCTTGCTTTGCTCTTTTTATGAATCCCTAATCTTACAGGTGAATGAAAGCCGACTGCCAACTTTAGAGAGATTTTTTTGCTTTGCCTGGTCGAGGATTACATTTTGTCTTTGCTGCCTGTCAACTAGAGAGTCTTGGACAAATTGCCACGGCCAACTTGTCACAGCCATCTTGCTGTGGCCATTTCCACGTGGCCATCTTGCTGAGGCCAACTTGCTGTGAGACAACTCGCCATGGGACAATTCCATGCAATGTTATCTGCCACTGGTTCTTCGACATTATTTCCATTTTTTTCAATAGAAATAATGTTGAAAGAACAGAGGCAGATAACATTTATTGCACTGAGTTATCCCACATGGAATTGTCCTGCACTGAGTTGTCCCGTAGAGAGTTGGCTGCAGCAATTTGGCTGTGTCAAGATGGCCGTGGTGACATAGCCACAACAAATTGGCTGTGGTGAGTTGCCCCGTTCTCCATCTAGACTAGTGCTTCTCAGCCTTGGGAACCTTAAGATATGTAGACTTCAACTCCCAGAATTCTCCAGTCAGCCATGCTGGGAGTTGAAGTGCATACATCTTAAAAAGTTCCCAAGGTTAAGATATATTTAGGCAGTACATCAGGAAGGTACTTTCCTAGTTTTAAATGCAGAGTCTAGTTTTCACCAGTTGTAGCTTCCTATAGATGAGATTTCACAAAAGAGGCTACTTTGGAAAACCAAAACTAAATACATCTGCCAGACATCTCAGCAGAGGACCAACTTATCAGATTTCTTCAGGGGCACCCTGGTGCCAGGCCAAATTTTGGGATTGCCATATATCCCAGCCAGGATGTATTTTGCAATAGAGGAGAAAAAATATGAATGGTTCCTGGGTACTGTTTTAATTAGCTCCTGGTCGGTTACTTGGGCAGCAGGACATTAAAATGATGCAAAATCCAACATTTACCTTGAAATTAATCAGGAATAGCATTACTTCCTTGAAATATTTTCCACTTTTTTCTTTAGTTTTGCTATTTTGGTAATGGGAAATTCCTCCAATTTTGTTTTTGTTTCACTTCAATGTTAATCCATGGTGTGACCTGCAACAGCATTGGTGGTTATGAATGACTCTTCTATACCTTTAATATCTATCTATCTATCTTTTTCCCCCTCTTTCTTCTCATTCCTGCCAAATGAAGACCAGGAAACGACAGGCCTTCCTAGCAGAGACATGTGAAAACAATGTGAGAGAGCTGGAGTCACTTCTGGACAGCTTTACTATGTCAAGCCAGTGGACAGCAGGTTAGTTGAAGCTATGAAATGACAGATGCATCTATCAATGCTCCAACCTCACTAAATAGGGGAAATCTGCAGATGCCCCTTACATTCCCTCCTCTCAACATGCTTTGATTCAATGACATGCTAAGAGCAGCTCTCACAGCAGTTGAGTGGCCTCACTGGCTGAGATGGGGTGACTGAATGCAGACCTGCTGTTGTCAGCCCAAACTTGATTTACAAGGGTTGGATTGTTTGTGATTGGCTGGGAAAGGTTGCGAAAGCCAAATGAAAAAAAAAAAAAAACGTCCTGACAACCGACTTACCAGGGGAACAGATGTTTTTGATTGCACTTGAGCCAAATTCACAGGCAACCTTCAGCTACTTAAAGGTTGTGTGTTCAGAAAAAAGTCGTGTAGGACACAGAGTTCATCACATGACTCTTTGCTGTGTTGGTTTAAAGTGATGCTAAAGCAAATTCCACCCCAATCCAAGTGTAGAAGTTAGCTTTTTCCCCTCCTCATTGTCTGCCCTGCATCATCAGTAATGTTAATTTCAAATGGAGGAAAGTGCTGAAAGAAATTTCAGAGATGAAAGGTCATTTTCCCTCATTTTTGGGAGATTTGTTGAGCCACTGTAATTCCATCTTTAACACACATCTGCCTTTCTTTCCAATTGGTTTGCTTCTGTTAGCCAGAAGGGTAACCAAAGTCACAAAGGAGAGTTTAACTCTATTTGGGCAAACACTTGCATTTTGCAGAAGCAGACGGTATGCCTTAAAATGATCTCCTCAAATGGTATCAAGTAGTCTTAAGCCTAGGCCAACCCTTTCTCGTTCCTCCCAAAAGTGAAAAAAAACAACCATATTTTAATGACTTCTCCCCCTCTTCCTCTCTTTCTGCATAAATCTGTCCCATCACTTGTATTATTTTTCAAGACTAGGCTGCCAGTGGGCCACCCACATTAAGTAAGGGGGGAAGTAATTCTAGACAGAAAAGGATCCTGGTAATACATCCTTTTACAATGACAGAAGTGGCACTGGAAGACTTTTGGCCTTCGGTTCCATGGTGATGCAGCCCCAGTTTGTATTTATCATGATTTTGGAAGCAGGGACTTTCCCACTACATAGCTGAGATTTGTTTTCTTCTTTCACACAGCGGGGATTTACTCGCCGTTCCCTCTTGCATTTCAGCTTTCACTGCAAATGAGTATTGATGTAATTACCATGAATTTTTCATGGCCCTCATCCAACCCAGCCAAAGGTTTGGAACCAAAATCCGTTCTGCATCTGGGGAGATAGGGAAGACACACAGGACAAAGCTTAGAGAAACCAGGGAACGGAGAGTATTGAAATTGGCTAGGAGCGCACTCCCTCCTTTTCAGAAGCATTGAATACATTTCTGAATGCAGTGTTTTTTGGAACCACTTGGTTAGTGCAGAGGTTTTGGCAAAGGAGATTGAGCTGCCTGGAAAGAAAGAGCCAAGGCAAAGCAAGTTGAAAAGAATTATTTCACATGGAACATGTGCTTTTGTACGTAGGTATTATTTTTAGTTTTAATGTTAGAATTGCCTTTGTTGTCTTGGGGGAAAAGATGGTGGTGGGAAATATGCCATATCTTATTTTTGTGGGATGATTGCTTTCTTGTCTCCTTTCTATAGACTTAACATTTTTACAATGTGCCACTACATCAAGCAGACTCATAGGTAGGTCATATCTTGAGGCTGAACAGAAGAATAGGTGATATTTGGTTGTTTCCTTAAGTCTTTTTGACCAGGGTCAGCACATTGAAACAAGAGAGACCAAATGAATGATTATGGCCATTTTAATAAAGAACTGTGCCCCAGTTTTTAAGTAAAGTGGGGGTGGAGAATGTAAAGGGTGGCCCCTTTATGACTTGTGGACTTCAACTCCCAGAATTCCTGATCCAGAGTTGAAATCCACAAGTCATAAAGCGGCTTTCATTCCCCACCTCTGGTGTAAAGT